AAAGAAAACAAAATATCAGAAAATCAAAGCGAAATAAAACCAATAGTTAAAAGATTAATTTATTAATTTAACTTAAAAATAACATGATTTATATATGCTTTTCCTAATTTATTCTAATAAGTTTTTTCATATAACATTTAAATAAATATTTTGATAAAATTTATAATCTAATCTATGCCATAAATTTTCAAATAAAAAATATTATATATATATATATATATATATATATATATTAAAATAGAATAGGATATGTGTCACGAAAAAAGAAAATGAATTTTATTCAATTGATAAACGGGCACGGCAATTTAGGTAGAGCAAACTGTCAGTGATTTCCCTCTTCTTCTTTTATTATTTCAGGGTCTGGACCAGCGCTGCCTGAACACCGCATTTTACTAGCACACGGTTTTCCGACTCTATGTGATAAGTGTACAACCCATTTTTTTTTTAAAATATAAGCTTCAATTTGAATAAATTTATCGTCATCAATTTGATATTATATTTGGTTTAAATATTATTTTTTGAGAATAATAACGTTTCTTTCAAAATCATTTATTACTTTCAATAATTATTAAAATCATAATATGAGAATGTTTGATTGATTTAATTGTTAAATTATTTTATATTATATATTACACATATATAATTTTATATAATTTAAATATTTGCAAGTAGGTTATTCATATTTTAATATTATTTATATTTTAAATATATATTACACATCAAAATTAAGTAATTAATAAGTATTATATTTTAATATTACTTATGTTTTAAAAATATATTACACGTCAAAATTAAGTAATGTAATAAAATAATAATTATTTTTTTTTGTATAAAATTAATTTTTTTGTAAATAATTTTAAACTAATAATTCGATTGATTAATTTTATATTCTATGGAAAGATATCAAGTGATGTAAATATAAAAGTTTTAATGTTTAGGGTCAACTGGTTTAACTTTACATGTATATCAAATTATATAAGTATAAGTTACACTAAGAATTATATCATTAATAGAAATAAAAATAATTATAAAAATAAATATTAATATTAAAATATCTATTTCATACATATTTTTAACATTAAGTGATTGTAAGTGGTTTTTTTTTAGAAAAATACAATTATTAATAAAAGTTAGGTTACAAAATAATAATAAATAAAAATAAAAAATGATAATCAAATTATGCTAGATTATATTTACTAAAATCTATATTTAGTTGGCTAGAGTATGTTACATTTTCCATAATGACATCATAAAAAATAATTAAAAACCTTATAAACAAGGATAATAAAAAATATGCAGATTATAGAAAGTAAAATGATGTGTACAATATATTGTTTCATAACATTTTTCAATATAATTATATTAGATTTTTTTAATATAATAAAATTTTACTATCATTTAATAAATAATAAAATTATAAATGCTCCTTTTCTAAAGCCTATTTCTTCATATTTAAAATATAATTACTTATAATTAATTTTAAATAAAATAATTTAATATAAAAATACAAAGAAACTTATAAAAGGCACAAGGGTAATTATTAATAATATATATTTTATGTTTTTTAATTTATTTTTTTAATTTTTTAATTATAAATAAGTTATTTTAGTTTATTTTAATAAATTTTATAGTTAAAGCTATGATATTGTTTAAAAAATGTATATTAAATAAACATTGCATTTCAATGAACCATTATATATATAGCTTAATGATGCGTTTAGTTGATAGATGAAATAGAAAGAAAATAAACAAGTGAGAATAAACTATCTTTGCTTGTTGGACAAGTAGAAAAGAAAAAGAGAAAAAAGAAATAAATATATCGTATAAAAGTATTTTTATAATAATAATGCAAAAATAATATTATTTTAACATATTTCTTTTTTAGTATATTTTTATATTATTTTAAAATTGTGTAATATTATCATAAACGAAAGGAAAAAAAATAATCTATCGATTTTACTATTCATTTCCCATGGAAGGAGATAAAATTTTGCTGTGAGACTCACTCGCTTTGTTTTTCTTTCTTTTCACAAAAGGACAACACATCTAAACAAAAAGGAATTATTCTTTCTATCATTTTCTTTCGTCACAAAATCAACACATCCAATCAATGTCTAAACGAGTGTTAATTTTTTTTCCTTTTATTTTAAATAAAATAGTATTTGTAGCAAAATATTGTCTTGATTCAATAATAAATATAATAGTTTTTGAAAATTATTTTATTAATTAAGATATTTAGTATTTGCTTTAATCTTAGTGTAAAAGCTTTAAACGTTAATCAATTTGGGAAGGGAAATATATTACATATTTAATTGATAATACAAAATAAATTCATCACTATTAATTTTAGTTATACGGCGATGCGCAACAAATGAAGGCATAATTCTCCAATAAAGCATAAGATTTGTTTGAATAAAAAGCAATATGTCTAGGAATTTATGTCAACTCTTTTTACTTATCAATTTGATATCCTCCAAATTTCATATATGTCTACGTGTCAAAATAATAAAGATTTAATAAAATTAAATAATTTAAAAATAACTTTATTATATAGTGTAAAAAATTAATTAAATGTTAATAATATATATATTAATAATCATAAATTTAAGAGATAAAACTATTAAAGATAAAATTTAAATTAAAAAATTAAGATGATTTTTTATTAATATAAAAAAATTTATAAAATTTTTAGAGATTTAATAAAGTAATAATAAAAATTTAAAAAAACAATTTAATTTCTGAAATTTAGAATAAAATTAAAATAATAAAAATGTATATCTGGAGAACTATAAAAAAAATAGCTCTAATAAAAATTCACTTCTCAAATAGTGTACTTTCATTTATAATATGATAAAAAATTTATAAAAAAATAAAAGTTAAATTATACTTTTTATTTTCTATGTTTGAATGACTTTTTAATCTGGTTCTCCAAGTTTAATTGAGTAGTTCATTTCAGTCTTTAAACTTTACACTATAATTTTTCTTTAACATTGCTTTATTTTTCAATTTTTACTAATTCAAATAATAGTTTGATAATTGATGTAAATATAAATTCATAATAAAAATTATAGATGTATAAGATTTGATCAATAATTATAATTTGTCACCGACTGTTAGATAGTTATAATGAAAAAAAAAGTAATTAGTAGTAAATAATTTATAGACAATTAAAGAGATTTTTGGTGATGATTTAAAAGTTTTGGACAATAATTGAACAGTAAAATGCACAGAAAATGTAAAAATAAGATAAAGTTCTTGTCCGAAACACTATTTTTTGAAGAAACTTTGATAAAATTAAAAGATTGAATGAAGTTAAAGGAATCAGTGGAGGTTAAATTAAACTTACAAGACTGTTACATTGAATAAAAATTATAAAATTAAATTAAAATTTCACTTAAATTTAAAGGATAAAAAAAAATATAATTTAGACAAACTCAAATCTACTTTAATGGAATAAAATGGATGGTAGGTCCACCCATCTCTAAGATTGTAAAAGTAGATTTTGGGTCAAACTGAACGCGTAATTTGACTGTGTTGATGTAAATTAATATTCCAGTCAAATTTTTTGTACTTAATTTGACTGTGTTCAAAGAGTACCCCTTAAACTAATAATTTTGGTTGTCGCAAGGAAGGTGCTCAGTGTTTCAGACTACTGCATAATTCCATGCATGTATAGAAGAACCAAACTCATTTTGAAATGAACAGAAAAGCAGCACTATAAAATTATGTAATTTTTTTTTATTTTAAAAAATATGTTAATACAAGTTTTACAATAAATAAAAATTTAATAATTAAGATGAAAGATGATATATAATGTTACATAGGAGACAGTTGTCAGATGCACATGATAATTACACACTGCAGGCAATGAGTGTAAATAGTTTAAAGTACAATAATAAAGCGCATTAAACAAATGTAGCATATTGGTTTCAGAAACCAAAGAATTGATTTGGATAAGGAGGAATCTATATTCTTGAAACAATTATATGGGGAATGTAGGTAAAAGATAATAGCATTTGAAGATTTCTGGAATGTCTCTATTTTAGCTACAACTAGCAACTTTTTTCATGTTTGCCGTATGCTATATGGCTATAAAACTCCTCCAATAATTGCTCTATTGCAGGCATATTTTGATTAAAGTTGATATTCTCAGATCATCACGTATTATTAGCTCATGTTTATGCAAGTTCCCCCTGCACTATTTACGCCAATCTCAACCAGAACAGAAAAATGAACATTGAAAAATTAAACTCCTGAAAACAGGAAATGAACATTTAATAGAAAGAATCTACTTGATGTGACCATTTCATTTCAAAGCGTGCGATCATAAAATTGTCATATATAATTTAGTGGAAGGAAATCTAGCATAATAATCTTCCCTCGTAAAGTAGGTGATGACTGGACTGCTTTTCAACATGACAGTGACCCCTATTCTATTTTAAAAAGGTTGGTAATTTAAAATAGAAAATCTAACATGACAAAATTTCTCCCCTTTAATATATTTTACCATTACTTGTAAAATCTGTTTATTAGACGTTTAGCACTTCAAAAACAGATTAACTTTTGTAATAGATATCTAATTCTCTTTAAACTTCGTCTATAAAAGATTCTACTAAAAAATTAATTTTATTTTACTCTATATATTTTTAATTTAAATAAATTTACTATTTTTATTAAATTGTAAGTGTTCATTAAAATTTTTAATGTTTCAAAAACTACCTAGTTTATTTAAAAACAAAAAAAACTTATTTAATAGAATATAAATTTTATAAAAAGAATAAAAACCTAGAATTTATTGAACTAAAATAAACATTTATTATGACGAAAAGGTTACCAATCTCTTTCACATTGTGAACTCTCTCTCCCCAACCCCACTAACTTTTGGGTATAAATAGGGAAGAAGGAGACCACTTTTATGAAGCATTCCTCTGCTGAGAAGCAAAAAGGGTTGTCAACTCTGTTTGTCTCTTTGGTTCATTGATTACAAAACTAAAGTAGAAATGGTGGTGTTGTCGAAAACAACAGCAGAACAGTACTCTTATTCGTATATTAGGAACTGCAAAGCAACGACATTCCCCACAGCAACAGGGATCCCTGTGGTGGACCTCTCCAAACCTGACGCAAAAAGCCTCATAGTGAAGGCTTGTGAGGAGTTCGGATTTTTCAAAGTCATAAACCATGGTGTTCCCATGGACGCTATCTCCAAGTTGGAGTCTGAAGCCGTCAACTTTTTCTCTCTGCCCCTCACACAGAAAGAAAAAGCTGGGCCTCCCAATCCATTTGGCTATGGAAACAAGAAAATTGGAGTAAATGGGGATGTTGGTTGGGTTGAATATCTTCTTCTCACCAACAACCAAGATTACAACTCCATCGCCCTCTCCCCTGCTTTTCCCCATAACCCAGACAACTTTCGGTATGCTATTCCAACACTCAAACCATAATTGAAGGCGTCAAAATATGTTGTTTCTTTTCTTCATTTGTTACATTCTTTAACTTCATTGTTTCTTCAACATATGAAAGGCCAGAAATGTATATGTGAAAGTTTGGGTCAAAAGTTTTAATTGCTGTGCTGTTGCAGGTGTGTGTTGAGCGATTATATGCGTGCTGTGAGGAATATGGGTTGTGAGATTCTTGAATTGATGGCTGAAGGATTGAACATTGAGGAAACGAAGGTGTTCAGCAAGCTTCTGATGGACAAAGATAGTGACTCTGTGTTCAGGCTCAATCATTACCCTCCTTGCCCTCTTGATAAGGGTTTGAATGACAATGATGAAAACGTTGTTGGGTTTGGTGAACACACAGATCCACAAATCATTTCCTTGTTGAGATCCAACAACACTTCTGGTCTCCAAATTTGTCTGAGAGACAAGAGTTGGATTTCAGTTCCACCCGACCACAGCTCCTTCTTCGTCAATGTCGGTGATTCCCTCCAGGTAGAGAAAGCAAGTTTATTCAAGGAAAAGATTAATATTTTTTATTAAAAATATAATTACTATATTTTTTTAACTAAAATTTATTATATTAATCACCCAAATTCAAGCCTAAGAATTGTCAGTTTTTAGTGGCTAACCCATCACACATAAAGAAATTGCTGCCCGTTTCTTTTTAACTGTTATTTAGAGTGATATCATATAAAAAATCGAAATTAAGAAAAATAATTAATATTTTTATTTATTTCGATTTTAAATATTTTTAATAATCATTTTTTATTATACTTTTTAGTATATAATTTAATACAAACACCTTAATTGCAGACAAATATTTTTAAGAGTTGATATGAATATTTTTATCTTTATAATAATAAAAAATAAACACTTTTCCTCTGTTAGGTTTCCTGGTTTTTTTTTTGTTCCTTTATAATATATTTTTAGTGTCATATTTTTCTTAATTTTCCTGTTCTTATGGATAAGATATAATTGGCTTGACTGTGGATAAACCTTTTCCTTTCCCTGATATCTTTTGCATCTGTGCGTGTTCCAGTTTTGGTTGACTTGTGAAATGGGTTTATTTGTAAAATAAAAGTAAAAAATTATTTATTATTAATTTAGCTTAAAATATTAATATACTAATTATAAAAATTTAAAGATGAATAACTTTTTATTTTAAATAAGTTCATTTTTGAAAATCTTTTCCTTGCCACATTAAATTTGACTGTTTTCCAAATCTAAAGAAAAAAGAATTAAATGTCTTTTATAGTTTGAATGCGATTATCTATCTTTGTTAGGGAGTATCTAAAGGGGTTTTGTTCATTTGAATGGTTTGGTGGGTGATCCACATGCACACAGGTTATGACTAATGGACGGTTCAGGAGTGTGAGGCACAGGGTTATAGCAAATGGGTTCAAATCGAGGCTTTCAATGATTTATTTTGGTGGTCCACCTCTGAGTGAGAAAATAGCACCATTGCCTTCTCTTATGAAAGGAAAGGAAAGCTTATACAAAGAGTTTACATGGTTTGAGTACAAAAAATCAGCCTATGCTACAAGATTGGCAGATAACAGGCTTGGCAACTTCGAGAGAATTGCAGCTTCATAATGCTTCTTCAAGAATATTAGGGTTTCAATGTATTACTAGAACTGGGTTTTCCTTTTTCTCTATCGTTCAATATGTCATGTCATATATTTATCGGTTAGAATTAATCAATCATAACTAGGATACTCATGTTATGTAATGTACTGTAAATTACCAAATATGTCTTGCTATTGTATCGAAGTTTTGAAAAATATAAGGTATAATAATATTTGGCTTTATTATTAATAACAAATATTTCATTTTATAAGTTATTAATAAACTAAAAAGATAAAATTTTTGGAGCTAAAAGGAGAATAAATTATTTCAGTTAAAATATATTGCTTTTGTATTTATTAATTTAATATTGAGTTAAAATTTAAATTTAAATTGAGATTAATTAAAATTATAAAATTGTACAATTTTACATTTGAAAATACATACATATATATATAAGATTAAGTTTTGAAAATAAAATATTTTGAAATTTTTTAATTCAGGGTTAATTTGATATATTGGTTGATGAATTGAGTAAAAAAAATTAATTAATTTAATTTATAAAAATTTTAAGTAAAAATGGAAATTTAATAATTTCAGATAAAAAATTAATGAGAGACTAAAATTGTTAAAATTTAAAATTTGAAGAACTTAGCGAAACTGCACATACTTCTAATTAGAGGGATAAAAATGCAATAAACCTACTTTATAAACTAATTAAATTTAATAAATAAAAATATCAAATCGAAAAATGAAAATTAAATAGACAAAAAAATTGAATTTTTTTAACTAGATTATAATAAATTTTACTTAAGATTTTAAACATTGAAACATACATTTTTGTCAAAGAATGTATTTATAAAATCACAAAGCTAACTTAATTTTCTTGTAAACATATTCTATAGTTTTTTTATTATAATATATTCTCTAATTTATATCTTATTAGTTTTAATGTATTTATAAATTTATTAATTTTGAATCCAATTAAAAATCGTCAGATCTCATGTTTTATTTATTTAATAGTTCGTGTTTGTTTGTTAGAATAAGTATTAACAAAAAAAAGTGTGCAAAAGAGATAAATTAAATAAAAATTATATAGTTTCATCTAACGAAACTAAATAAAAACCAAAACTAATTTAACTAACACTTTTAGAGATAAGATTAAATCATATCATATTTGAATTTATAACTAAACCAATGGAATGACTAAATGAAAATTTTGATGGGATTATATCGGTTGAATTTTCTTTTTAACATTAATTTTACTCAAAATATTTAAACTTTTATTTTATTTTATTTTTCTTATATAATTTTATAAAAATAATTTCAAATAATTCTTCTTTTTTTTTCTATTAATGATTTAATTTTAAGTCTAAACTAATTAATAATTAAGACAATTTATGTAAAAATTTTCACTTGAACATATAATCGAATAACCTTTTAAATATTTTGTTAAATAAATAAGAACATAATTAATTATTTATCAAAATTTATCTTATTTTTTGACAATTAAATAAAGGAAGCTTATTATTATTTATGAAAGACATGTTCGTAATATATAAATTTTTAATAATAGAAATCTCTCAGATTTGCAATGTTATGTTAAAAAAATTTTAATATTAAGTGTAAAAATTATGGTAAAATTATATATTCATGTTCTTATATATTATAATGGTAAGATTGTAAACGCAGAAGAGGGAGATATATTTTGTAGTGATAATCAAGCTTAGTTATTTATTCACTAATTAATTTGCTACAGTTAGAAAGCTAAATATTGGAGAAATATTAGGAAAACAACATGCAAGTTTTAAAAATATTCTATAAAATGACGTGCCACAACTCATATGACGAGGTTCAACTCTAAATCCATCAATTTCTCCATTTAATGCAACTCTATCCTTTGAAATATCCTACCATAATGTGCACAACTCATATAACAAGATAGCTTCTCCAAGTTTTGAACACTTTATCAGATAGACTGAAAATCCATTACTGCTAAATCCATAGGCAATAACATAAGCTAGCTTGGTTGAGAATTATTATTTTATTGCATTACACCAGGATGATAAAAATGATGAAAGGGAGGATTCTAGTTGTATAGCAAACTATAAAAGAGATGTTGAGTATAAAATTTGAGTTTGACTTCATAAAACTTCTTTGTGTTCGGTAAGCAAGTGTATCCGTGGAGAAGTAATAAATGGTTCTTAAAAACGAGTTTCAAAATTATCGTCCCACAAGGATTGGTTACTAATGAAAGAATAGGCAAGACAAGCCCTATCTTTTTCATTACGTGAGAATCAGAATATATACACATCAGAATACTATATGTATAGATTTTATGTGATAGCCTCAAAGAATAATTACAGCAAATCAACTAATTGTAGAAACATATCAATTAATTACAGATATGCTCTAATTGCAGAAATATATTACAGATATGGTATAAAAATTAGAGCATATCATGTCCATGATATGTGTCATGTCTGTGATTTGCTCTTCATCCCCCTCAAGTTAGTGCATGAAGATTGTGAATGCTCAACTTGTCCAATAAGGAGAGAAACTGAGTTTTCCCAAGTGCTTTAGTGAAAATCTCAGCCAACTGCATACTAGTGGGCCCATTTGTAGGATGAATGAGGCCTTTAAGTATCTCATCTTGGATAAAGTGACAATCAATTTCAATGTGTTTAGTTCGTTTGTGCTAAAACGAATATTTGTGTGAGATAATTTTCTGTCTTATTCCATCTCAAAGCCTTTACATATATACACTTTCAGGCCAATGACCAGCCTTAATTGAGGCAACAGAATATCTCAACATTATGCTGGACTATTCCCTAAATAAAACATATCAAACCAATCATTTCCTAATATAAAGATATTGACAGCAAAATAACTAACAATACAAAGGTAACAGAATCTGCTAGATACAATGCAAATATAGGTATATTGTTTTATCCCCCTCAAGTTGGTGCATGTAAGTCCGTAATGCCCAACTTGCCTTGGAGAAAATTAAATTGTTTTGTACCAAGAGCCTTTGTAAACAGGTTTGCGAGTTGAGCATGAGAAGGAACATAGGATGGACTGATGTGTCCTTGAATAATTTCATCCCGAACAAAGTGGCAATCAACTTCGATGTGTTTTGTGCGTTCGTCGAAAACTGGATTCTTTGCTATGTGGAGTGCGGCTTGACTGTCGCAGCGCAGCTGAATGGGCACAGTGAGAGTGATCCCAAGATCAGAGAGTATGTCTTTCAGCCATTTCAACTCACAAGTGATGTTAGCCATGGAGCGGTATTTAGCTTCAGTTGAGGATTTGGACACAGTGGGCTATTTCTTTGTCTTCCAGGAGACAGGTGAGTTGCCAAGTGTAATAAACCAACCAAAAAGTGACTTACGAGTTAAAGGACAACTTGCCCAATCCGAGTCATACCATCCATAGAGGCAAAAATCGTTGGCACGAGGAAAGAGGACACCCTGACCGAGGTGCCCTTTTAGATACCGCACCACACGCAGTGCAGCATGCCAGTGGTCCTTTCGAGGATTTTGCATGAATTGTGACAGAATGTGAACACTATAGGATAGTTCAGGGCGTGTGAAGCAAAGATAGATCAGGCGTCCAATGAGACGTCGGTACTGCCCAAGATCAGAGAGCAGTGGGTCGTTCGCCAATGCTAACCGATGGCTTTCTTCCAATGGGGTAGGAGCAGGTTTGGCACCAAGTAACCCAGTTTCAGCTACAATATCCAAGGCATATTTTCGTTGGCAAAGATAGATACCAGTGGGAGATCGAGCAACTTCTACCCCAAGGAAGTATTTAAGGCGTCCCAAGTCCTTCATGCGGAAGCAACGATGAAGATAGTTTTTAATCTCTCGAATGGCAGCAACATCATTTCCTCCAAGAACAAGGTTGTCAACATAAACTAGGAGCACAAGCTGTGTATCTCCTCAGCAAAGGGTGAATAAGGAGTAGTCAGAATATGACTGCTGAAAACCGTACTGAGTTAAAGCAGCAGAAAGTTTGGCAAACCAACATCGAGGGGCTTGTCGCAAGCCATAAAGGGATTTACAAAGCTTGCACACCGCACCTGATCGTGATGCTTGGAAGCCAGGGGGCAATTTCATGTAAACTTCCTCTTCAAGATCTCCATGTAGGAAAGCATTGTGCACATCCATCTGGTGGAGTTCCCAGTCTTTAGCTACCGCTACAGCTAATACAGTACGAATGGTACCCATTTTGACCATCGGAGCGAAGGTTTCGGTGAAATCTAATCCTTTAACTTGGTGATTTCTGAGAACAACTAACCGAACCTTAAACCGCTCGAGGCTCCTGTCGGAGTGGTATTTAATTTTGTAAATCCATTTACACCCAAGAACTTTCTTCCCGGGAGGCAGTGTCGCGAGCTCCCATGTGCCATTGTCTTGGAGTGCTTTTATTTCATTTGCCATTGCCTCCTACCATCGAGCATTTTTGACAGCCTCAGAGTAGTGCGCTGGTTCACGATCTGTATGTATAGAAGCAAGGAAAGTCTGGTGACATGGAGAGAAGTTGTTACACGAAACATAATTTGCTAATGGATAACACACACCTGAGGTGGCTGATGGAGTGAGAGAGCGAAGTGATGGGGCATTGTGTATCATAGTGTTAGTGACATAGTCTTTGAGTTTTACCGAAGGCACCTTGACGCGCTGCCCTCTACCAAGAGGAGTATGAGTATCAGCAGAGACATCAGTTGGCGCTGCTAGCGTCGTCAGATCTTCAACCACTGTTGTTGCTTTATCACGGTTGACAAAACCCCCCATTTCGAAGGTTGCCGGTTCAGGTTCTGGTTCAAACTCAGTCGCTATTACTTCAGCCTCTCATTGACCACCTGGGTCTTCAATTATTACTATTTCGTCATGAGGTTGTTCTTGTGGACTGACCTCTTCTTCATCTTTTGCAAAAGGAAATTCTTCCTCCACAAATTTAACATCTCGTGAGACGAAAATATTTCCTTTTTCCAAGTCAAACACCTTCCAGCCTTTTTGTCCATATGG